TGACCCCGTTCAATTAAACAAAATGTTAAAGGTAACCATTAATTAGCAGTCAGTTTTCAAAATTTAACTCTAAATTAAGTAACTTAACTTTTAATTTACCTACAGGTTTAAAGGGCTAAAATGGGCATCAACGCTAACAGGTGAGAATCCTGGACAGCCCCTGGTTCTTACTGTAGGTACATCCTTGATAACTACCTCCCTCCCCTCTGCAGCTCTGCCTCCCTGTCAAGGGAGCTCCACAACGAGGAAACTCATCAGGCAGCGATTGAGAAGAGAAACAATTTATGTAAATGGCCTTTTAACACACAACAGTACACATGGAAATGCAGATTGTCTTCTGACTCAGCCCACAGAAATACTTTTACATTCTCCAAAAATGACATTCTCAACGATCATGTATTTGGCTTTTGGAAGACTGACAGTTTTTCACATGAAAGTAAATTTTTATTTATATTCTGCTTCACCACACAATTCACGCTTGCTTAAGGAACAAGACTGTCACTAGCATGACAAGGTGCTCTAGAACACAATCTATTTAACTCCAATAATAACCTAGAGCAATGTTTTAGTGATGAAAGAATGTTTCACACCTTTGCAACTCAAAATTACTTAATATTTAAGAGAAAAATGTAAACCAGGCAAGCTAAGTCAGAAAACTTGTGACGTCCTTTGTATCAATTCCTTCCGTGTGGCAGCTGCATGATTCAGACTACAGCTTTGTGTTCTTTTATCTAGTGTTTTAACTGGCCAATGTAAGTCTTACAGAAAAAAGATGACAGACAAACTTAAATATCCACTTCCTCCAAAACTTTAGCAGTTAAAGAATAACTTTAATCTTGCTCCACTCAACCTCTGACTTCTAAATTATGGGGAAAATAGCCAACCACGGAGGCCATTTGAAGGAATGTACATGCTCTTGTGCACACTAATGACCCAATGAGAAATAAAAACCACAGCCTTGCAAAAAAGATCTATTCTCATTTCTTTGAGCTGGCTTCTTGCATTGTCAACACTGACAGAAGTTATTCCTCTTGGCTTTTATAAAAGACAGCAAAATCAACTCTATGCACATAGCAGATATCGTTTACACACGACCTGACGTCACCTGCAGTAATGGTATGCAGTTGCCAGGCAAGTTTGCAGACTATATTAAGAATCCTGAAAAGCAAAGCAAACCCCAGTTGTGTCAGTAACCTGAGGAGCCATGCCTCAGATCACCAGGAGACAAAGCCTCAAGCATCACAGCATCTCATGGGCCTTACCGGAGAACTAATCAATGAGGGTTTAAAACACCTTCAGCAAACGGTGACCTCTATGCACTGTGCCAGCCTGAGGCGGAAACAGCAAGTGAGCTGAACTGACGACAGTGAGAGTGGATCAACGAAACTACAGCAGAACTGAGGCTGCTACCACAGAATTTCAGGAATGACACATTACTTTGGCTTCCTACAGGATACAAGCTGTTTCATTCAGAAGATGCAAAGTACTTGATCATATGTTTCCCTCAAATGCTGTATCCTTTCCTTATTTTCTTGTGGAAGATATTGAGAGGAGGGCCACAGAACAAGTATAATAGGAAGGAAATGTATTTCTGTACATTTGGAAGCAGAGGAACAAAGTAAACAAATTTCCTTGGAATTCATCATGGACCTCAAAGAACCTATGAAGATTCTATGATAGTACTCTCTGCATTCTTGTCTCAAGTATATTATTGAGTTTTTCTTCAGTAACATTAATTAAGAAGTTAGTGCGACAGGTTTAAAGTAGGCTGGTTTTAATAAAAAGTAATGCCACAGTAGGTAGTTTTAACTTGTTTGTTTCTCAGTAGCCTTTAAGATCCCTATATATCGAAAGGCTATATTGAATCTAATTATTTAAAGACACATTTACTGATGGATTACAATTTACATCCTTGTCAGGAATAAAGACAGGTGAAGGTATATCAAGGTACATACCATGCATTAAGAAAATATATTTCCAGTTCTTCCTGGATGAAACTTAATCTACCAAGCAAGTTATTTAAATTTTTAAACAAACAAGGCCCTCAATTTCTTCTCCTATTAAATGCAAACATTTCTAATGGGTTGAGTTGAATAAACAAATTGGTGTATCCAGAATCTGCATTTTGGTCACAAGGCTGATTTATAAAATTTGTACAGCTTCAAAAAAAAACATTAACATGTAAAATGTGGTGCGCCAAACAAAAAAATAAAGCTATGCCAAAGAAAGACTATATTTGCTGACCGTTTTCTTTGTATCCCATCCCTAGGATGACCTCTGGTGCTCTGTAGTAACGAGTCACTACATAAGGCGTCATCATAAAACTAGTTCCTGCAGTTCTGGCCAGTCCAAAGTCAAGAATCTTCAAAGTGCAGTCTGACTTTACTACTATATTACTGGGCTTTAAATCCTTTAAAAAGAAACATCATATGACTGCTAAGACAAGCACAAAGTACTCTGTGGTTCACATTTTTAAGAGATAATACTGCTAACATTAAACCCCACATATACAACTAGGATATTGCTATTATTGCAGTTTCTTTTCCCCTTCCATTAATTCATGTGCATTTGGCAGACTACAGAATTAATTCTCTTAGTGTGCTTGTAGATATATATATAGCAATTAAAGAAGGAAAATACAACCAGCGTTACAAGATATGTTAGCAACATCTGAAATAAATTGAGGTTAGTAGGAAATGTTAGCTCTGAGGAAAGGTCTAGAAACTGCTCAACAGAACAACAGTTATTACTACAATGCAGAAGACAAGTAACACGACAATTGCTAAACTTTGATGCTATACTCGTCTTGATACAAGACTTATTAAAATTATAACACAAATGTAAAAACTGGAAGGTTTCTTTGCTAGTTGTGGCTGCATTACCTCTTTTGAACCAATGCAGATGCTTCTCTGAACAGGAAGGAAACACCCATGCTCACACAGATTTAGTTTCCCATTTAGGATTTGGTTTTATATTAATTTTGGCAACCAAACCATAAAAAGGGCACCTTTGAAAAACTGCCAGAAATTAACACAATCATTAAATTGGAGTAGAAAATGTCCTGATACAGCTTCAGATCATCTTAGTTAGAAACTTGGTAACTGTATTCTCTTCACTGGAACCCTAAAACCATATTGACAATAGTGGCCTTACAACATCGATTTATATGGACACTACACAAGAATACTCGGCCGTTATCTCAGGAAGATCTTACACACATCTGAATGTCACAGAGCAGATATTACAAACAGAGCACCTTCAGAATAACTTTGCCGTCATAAAATCATTCATAGCACACAGGCCAACATAGATAAGGCTTGGATGCTTTCTCCCTACACTCTACTAAGATTAATGACAGAAAATCCTGAGATATGGCAGAGGACTCCAGCATCTGAGCTGCAGGCATTTGATAAGTATCTCTATCTTTCACTGTTTCATAAAGACTTAGAAGTGGCTATCTGTAAGATATACATAGTTTTCACTTGTACAGCTTTCAGCAAACTCCTCAGAAAGCTAAGAAAGCTGCAACAAAGATAGAGAGGAAACCACAAGAGAGAGTGCCAGAACAATAGAATTTTTATGGGTAATTAGAAGTCATGCGTAGTTACATATTCACACATGCACTTCCAAATCACACACGCACAGACACTGCAGACAATCTTGGCTTAAAAGATTCTCAAATGCCACAAATGAATTCAAGTACTATAAGGCATTCCAGCTATTTAATATACATGCTTCAGATTCTGCTACAATCCTGTTCATCATCAGCTTTATTTTTGCACAATTTTATTATTTGGAGGATGTTCATTGCAGAATCCCAGGTATATGCTCGTAGTATTAACTATATTCATCCTCCCCATTAACTGAAAATGTTAAGAGATCTTCCCTTTGCAAGAGAAAAATCACTACGAGGACAAAAAGCTAAAGCTTACAGAGTACTGTCCATTCTTAATTTCTGAACATCATTTGGTTGTCATGAAGCCTAGGAACATTTTGTAATTTGGAATACAGAACTGTCCTTCAAAATGATGGAGGTGAGAATTTACTGATACTGCATCCAAATTCATGCAGAACACCACCTCTTATGTTTTAAACAAACAAGGACTCAAAAGCTCCTATTAAGAGTAATCAAGTTGGTCAGGCTGTATAAATATACCCAGAACCTATAACAGAAGATATCTCGCCTAACCTTAAAAATGTAAAACGTCAGAGCCTAAAAATCAGAGATTATTCATGGCCGTCTCCGCATTAACCATGGGGAGAGGCATGTCTCTGGAGCGTAATTCATGGTTTCTATGGGCTTTTCCCTTTCTAAAGAAAGATTTGTGTGAAGAGCTTCCATAATTAGGCACCTTTGTTAAGTGCTCAAAATCAGGCAGAATACGATGTTTCAGAGCCTCCATGCAAGACTAATGAGACACTTTGTGTCCTTCAGCAAGTCAGTGAGGCACAACTCCACAAGGCTGATCATTCACCCTCCTCAGACTGCGAAATATAAATGAACGTGTACTTCTGCACTTGATGGAAACTCCATCTCTGCAAAATGTCTTGAACACATTAATGTTCATTTACCAACATCTGTTAATGCCAGCGTAAAGCTACAATCAAACCTTTACCAAGATCAAATCTTTATCCACTGATGGGGCAGCTAAGTAGGCCCCCTACAACTTCTAGTGAAATTGCCCAAAACTCCTTCTGTTTGATCTCTGCCTTGTTTCGTGCCTCTAGTTTGCTATGAAAAAAAACATTTCTATGGCAAGTAGTATCCAGTACTCTAGGCACATACACAGATCGTTGTAATTTCAGTCACTGAGCAAGCTTTGAAAAAGTTACAGCGATGCTGAGATTATTGCAGCTGTGTTAGAAGCTGAAGAACCCAGTTAAAAACTATTAACACCAAAAAGAGCTTAAAGATTTAGGGGACACTAAAGAAGTGTGCTAGATTCATAGCCAGAATGCCCCACAGGCAGCCACAGTAGTGCAGACTACGCTGACGGAGTAACTAGTTTCAACAAATGATTAGCTTTCGACATGAAGGACAGTGGTGTTGAAAGCCCAGTATAAAGTTAGTTACTACTGCAGCCACACAGTCCATATGAAGTATGACTGCAGTTTTGTGTCACTTGTTCCACAGAGAAACAGGATTTTGATACTTCACATGTTCAACTATAAAGGCACAACGCACACAGCAGGTAAATGATGCAAACAATTTGCCTGAACATACTTAATCTTCTAACAAAGTCCGAGAAGAAGCTGTCAGCTGAAAATCTACCATGAAGACACGCAAGTGAAATGTACCTGCCCATGTCTTTCAAAAGCATTCATGCATACATATGTTACTATTTACATACCAATTGTATCTGCAGTCTCTTTGGAATAGGTTATCACTATACTTCATATTAGTGCACACTATGAAGCATTTCAAAGACTTCACCCATATTTACAGAGGCAGGAATCCCATCCTCAAAGCGGTCTTTACTCCTGCCCCACAACTACCCAAGTAGTTACTTCTTTTCTGTAAACATATGAATGTTTACATTTATCCAGGACTTATACAGGCTCAACGGTTTGACGCCTGCTTTACAGGAGCGCAAACTACCCTTGAAGCAAGTGGAGTTTCAGAAGTTCCCTCTGGACTGTGCTAAGATCCACAGAAACAGACACCCTGACATTACCTGCTCTAGCATGTCCGTACAACATGCCAACATGCAGTTTTCCAAAAATAAAAAGACCCACAGCATTATACTTGCATACCTAAGTTCTGAAGAGGCCAGAAAACATGAAGCTGCATATAAAACCATTATTTCAATCCCACAGGTGCATGCATTAGGACACAAAGGGCTGCACAGTATTAGTCATATGCAATATAATACCACAACTGAGCTAAGTGAAGTACTCTAGTTCTGCCTAGCATTCCCAGAATAATGCAAGAACCGACCAACCTGCCTCAATGTCCACATGCTGACCAAGAAGCAGGGGTGCAATGCCTGGTTGCCAGCGATGCTTCTGCCTACCCTCCCCCACCCATCTCTTTCAAACACACAGCAGTTCAGGGCAAATGGCATGTAAGTAAGAAGGAAGCCTTCACCTTCCTTCCCCGAGTTCCTCATTGGAATGAGGCAGTTGATGAGTACTAGAGCTGGCTGAGCAAAAGGAAGCAGTGCTTGACCATTCAATCCATATTCTCTATTCAAACAATTGTCCCAGTTCCCTTGAGGGAAAACCAGCAAACTGAATGGGAACATCACACTGCCAGATCCAGCTTGCATGCCATTCAACGCCCCAGTCACAATGAGGTGAACTACTGAACTGGACAAGCACCCTAACATCACAGTTCCTGTGGTAGCACTCAGAACTGCCACTCATGATTGGCTTTGCTGTGTACAACACCTGTGAAGAGGACTCTGTAGCAATGACTGAAAGTATGACTTACATGAGTCTGTTTAATTGTACCTTCTGCAACATTTCGGAAATGAAAACTTAAAACTCTCTAAAAAAATTACAATGAAAAATGAAGCACTGTAGAAATACAAGCTTATAATTTCCCAAAACATTCAACTTCCACAGGCAACCTTAAATTCAGAATTTCTTGACTGGATTGCAACATGCCATTTAAAAAGCAGCAGTCAGTTTTGCCTGTGGGCTGAGTGAATGCTTTGTGACACGCGGGTGTACAAAAGTTCCAGTTACAGGTCTGTATCATCATCTGTTTATCTAGAGACATCAGATATTTATTCGTTACACTGCTAGTAAAAGAGCAGAAATAAAATTGGCAGTTCTCTCAAAAGATGGGATTCCAGGTTTGGTTACCAAAACAATAAAGACAGAGACACTTTCAGATATTCTTTCCTGCCATGACTACTAAAATAGAACATTTTATAGCATTAGAGGTAATGCAACTCACTGCAAAAATCTTCATTTGCTCTGTGCAGGTTATTATCAAATCATTCAAAAGGTTAATTCCAGAATTACAGTGGAAAAAGGTAAGCGTGATGATTTCCTTTCAGGTTTCTCTGTCTGCCTAAGGCACAGGCTATGGATTGCCCTTTGTGTTCCTATTTCTGATTTTTTTCTTTCCTGTCTTTTAAATACTCAAGGCAAAACCAGGTGCAACGCAAAATATACACAGTTAAATTCACCTACCCTATGTATAATTCCAGCTGAATGAAGATGTTTGATACCACACAGCATTTGATAAAGAAGATAAGACATTCGTTCATGGTCTAGCTCCATCTGAATCACCTGGCAGAGATTTGCATCCATGAGCTCCATCACTATGTAGCTTATGAAGGAAAAAAAAAAAAAAAGGTGTAATAATCAGATAACACTGCCATTTTATTGTATTGTTTCCCTTATTCACCTTTCTGCACAAATATTTTTTAAATTAATTATCAGCTTTAATTCAAATCAGACTTACACATCCTGAAATTCTTCCAGGGATTTTTGTGGTGTGAACACATTCAGTAGGCCGATTATCTGTAGGAAGGGGGAGAGGAAATATAAGCCCACCATAGCAATAGCGAAGTTGCAAAGTCAACATTTCAAGACTGATACCCAGTATTCTGACACGAACCTCCTGCTGCACATTGAAGCTCAAGATGCTTTGTGGCTCAACCAGGCCTAACATGCTGTAATGGATGCTCATGATTTTAGGAGGAGTATTTTTCCTCCACAAATCACGTAATTTAAAGATGCTCTGTGTGCATTAACAGGACAATACTCAAAGCTTAAAACCTAAGGAAGTTAGTCAGTCTTCCCCTGAATCCTACTTTTGCTTTGAAGTGAGCTGGTAAGATTTGTATTGCATATGAGGAAAAAGAGAACTAAGAACTGACAAAGACTACCCAAGAGATACCACTTTGCCATTGACAGAGGTGAAGCAACAAATCCACCCAAAGAGAAAAACAGATTCTTGAAGCTGCTTTAGGACATTTCCCAGTTGCTAAGAACAGATGGGATGTGCAGAAACAGGTCAGGCTACTACTCATGAGGAGTCATGCAGGCTCGCAATAGATCATCATCATACAAATTATGATATTAGGTAAAACTTCCTTCAGAGAATCCACATACAAGCCATCTCCATCTTAGAAAAAAACTCCAAAATTTTCCCAAGTAGTGAAAAGACAGAATAAGTCTTCTATGACTCTCCTTCCCTAACAGCCAAGGGGAATTTTATCTTGCTGAAGGGGGATTAAGAGGGAAGGTGAAGAAAACTGCACACAGCTGTCTCTGAAGGAAGCAAATGGCCAATACCAGACTTCTGTAGTTCAACTCCGATGAATTTATCACTTAATTCTCTCCCCTTTTCTGTGATCGGGTCTACCCCACAGCTTCATAAGCACCAGACAGTTCCTTTTGCCACCACACAAGATTCCTAACTCATTCATGCACGGGGCGGGGCAGGGAATCTCAAGCCTTTTTTCTCCTATTTGTCTACCAGCAGCAACAGAAACAAGGATGCACTTACCACTCATGGTATTCTTATTTGCCATCTGCTTGTAAAACATAGCAACGTAACACTGACTCCCTTCTCGAGTCTGAAGGGTGTATTTAAAGACTGGGCAGGTATTAAAACTAATCAATAACAGCTCTTCTGAAACATCGTTCTGTACTTATCACGGAGACATAACCATGCAATGAAAACCTCTATAATCTACAGAGGATGCCATGCTCTGAAATCACTTTTAAGACTTCAACAAAGAATAACCTTCTAGTTAATTCTTTAACATTTAAAGCAGGACACTGCACTCACATTTTTGTGATTAACGCACTTCATAAGAACAAGCTCTCTGTAGGCTCTTTTAGCGTGGGTTTGGTTCTGAAACGGTCGGCTTAACTTCTTGATTGCAACATTTCGTTCAAGGATGGCATCATAAGCTGCACTGTAATTAAAAATAACGTTATTACATCTCAGTGTCAAGGTCCTTTAAGCTGTGGCAGTTGTCATTTTTTCAGATACCTTGTATTATGTCTGCAGATAAATCAAATTTCCAGTATTATTTAGCTTTAGGGATTGTAATAGCAAAGTGCTCTTGTATGCTGAACAATTCAAAATTTAGAAACGATTCCAAGCTTCATAGTATTAACACATGACAATCTCCACAAAATAATGCAGGATCTTAGTTCCCTAAAATATCTTACTAAAGATACTGAGTTCCTGCCACTCATTGATACTGAAGAACAGACTGCCTGAAAAAGATTCAAAACACTTCAAATATAAAAAGCACATCAATTTTATGTAAAATCTTCACACTGAAAGGAAGGGAGGAAAAGTAGGTTATATAGAGGTCCGGCGCTTTCACTTATGCAATTGCTTAATATCTTCATGACAATGACAGCATCAAAGTGAAGATAAAACAAAAAAATGTTAGGAAACCTTTAATATCTTGATGTCACTGGCTTTTACTTGGTAAAAAGAAAGAATAATATTTTGTTTGTAAACTAATGCCAAGATTGTCATATTGTCATACGGTTCAGTGACATAGGCCGTTTAAGTGATGAAGACTGTTACTGGGGACAACTCCCACACGTATCATATTTCCATGACAGGAAGGCACAGATTTTGCTTCCTGTAAGAGGTAACACAGCTGACTACTATGCAAACTCAGGAAATATTTATTAGTTACTAGAAAAGCCTCAGCAGGAAAAACATTGTTTTCTTGTCTCTTATCAAGAATAGTACTCAAACCTAATGAAGAATATCTGCCAATATGGTCAACATCTACTAAATCCAACTAGCTACTTAGCTACTTTAAAAAACATGTTGTCTATATAGTATTTAGGCTTGAATGATTTTTTATTTTATTTTACTTTTTTTACGTCATCAAAAATTCTAGTCAATATCAAAGCAAGAAAAAAAATAGGAACAACATATACTGGTAACTTTCTTGGTTTACATTTTCTGCTATCTGGAATTACCCCCATCTTCCCCCAAGATAAGGAATATCTTATGAAAGAGTGGCAAAGAGGCGGCCAGGAAAGACTGTCGACATAGGACTCCTGTACCAGTATTTAAACTTCTGCATTCCCAGTACATAATGGTAGCCTTAGAGTCTGTTTCAGTATTAGATATGGTTAAGCCTTTAGGCCATCTACTTAATATTCCTCCAAATCAAGTTGGATCAGGTTTTTAAAAAAAAAAAAACAAAACCATAAACCAAACAACAAAAAAATGCCACCCAAATCACAAGAATTGCACCCCATCTCCTCCAGATACAGGCAGGATTTAATCACATGAGCATTCCAGTCCTTCTCAAGGTAAACAGAGCAGTTTAACTAAAAAGGCTTCAGTTACCACTAGCAGCAGTTACAGAATGACGCTAGAGTAATTACATCATCAGCTGTAATTTGGATTCAGCTCTAGGAGAGGCAGTAAATTTGGAAAACAGGCAGTAACATATGACTGGGAATCAGAAGGACAGTAATAACATCTAAAGATTCTGCAGGCATTTCTGTAGCAACTAAACAAACTAGTGAAACAACTATGTCCTCATTATATTAACACACATGCAAACAAAATTCAAATCAGTTTTTCTGCTACTTACAGACTGAATAACCTTAATGCCAGAAATTACCATTTCAAAACCAACTCTTTCTAGAGTACTGGCCTTCAAGTTTTCATTTGCACTAAGCACACTGGTTTATTATTAACCCAGCTGAAACACAAATACGAATTCAAAACTCACTCGTACCACACATTCTGTAAACACTGATCAAGAGAAGATCAAAGTAGTAAAGCGGTTACAAGGAAAAGTGTTTGAGAAGGTTATGCTTTTTCCTACCTTACTCTTCCTTGATATTTCTTTTGTATTTTTATGTCCCTGGTTAGCATCTCAAGATTGGAAAATCTGCCAGTTCCTGTGCTATCTACATCCTTCTCTGGAACATTCAAAAAACTCACAAGACGCTTAAAGCAACATTCATCTTTGGGGCAATGTCACTGCACAAGAAACAGTGCCTACAAACAGCTAGCTGTCACCAATCTTAAATCAGTCAGACGCTATTCGGTCCACACAGCAGACCTCTTATTCAAAGAACTATACTGTCAAGTCATTTTCCTAAATTGCATCAAGTATTTACATATTACAATGACAGTCAGCATCACAAATGCTCACTAACTGGTTATCAGGGACTATTTAAATTATGAAACTAAGTGAAACAGGCCCCTACCTAACAAACCATTTCAAGAAGTAAAAGCATTTACAAGCAGCCAACATTATATACAGTATTTCTGGCTTTTGTTTTACTGTAAGCAGTGTGGTTTAGGATTAGGATTAGTTTCTTTATCTGGGTTTTCCCCCCTCCCCCCATCAATTTATGGGACTCAGCACAGCTGGCTGAATTTGCACAGAACAGCATTAGCTGGAAAGCAGGAAAGGACACAGGTCAAAAAGCAACAGCAACAGCCCTTGCTGAGAAAAAATGGCCAACAATTACTGTTGCTGTTGTGCACATAAAAGGTAGTTCTCCACACTCCTACTCAGTAACACACAAGTTAAAGGACTAAGAAAATTCTATTAAGGGAACCTACAAGTACACTTAAAGGAAACCTTACCATACTATCCCTTGTGCTCCTGATCCTATTGGTTTTAAATTCTGATACCGTTTCAATACAGTGAAAGTAGAGTCTCCAATTTCAACACTGTAGAAATTGTTGTCACGCTTGCTTCTGCTCATGACGGCAACTTAGTTATATCAATTCATCCAAATTTTGCTTCTAACTGTAAAGGAATAAAATTTGAAAAAAAATAAGATTTTACAACTGTACGTAATCTGACAAAAGCCAAAATTCTTTATAATATGCAGAAGACACTTCCCAAATAAGGCCCATATGCAAATATACTTTATTTTTAGTAACTGCAGAAATGAGATGGCATGTGTCTGAAATGTTTTATTTTTAGGACTTATCCTAAGATAGGGTTCTAGAATGGCAAATGTAATAGAAAAATGAAAGTGCATCGATGGATGGTAGCAAAAATCTTAGATGGCAACAACAGAAGATCAAAAGGCAGGAAGCTACATGTCATTCAGAGCGCTCCAAGAGTACTGTCATCCCTTCATGCACACACACGCAGCAAGGGAGCAGGGTTTGGACCAGATACTCTCCAGAGGCCCCTTCCAACCTAGATTGTTGCATGACACTGTAAAGATGAGAGCGACAAAACAGCAACAAATCTTCCAGACACTGCAACCATCAAAATACCCTTGGTCACAACTGCCAGGAATATCTGTCACTGACGTAGAAACACATACGGTCAGTCAGAAAGGGAAAACTGGCCTTGTCAGAGATCTCACATACTAGCTCCTATGAATAAAAGTAATAATCAGGTAAAGAGAGAACAAGAGTAACAAAAAGCATGCATATTCCACCAAAACCCCCTCATATTACACACAGAATCACATAGAACCACAGAATGTTAGGAGTTGGAAGGGACCTCAAAGGATCATCTAGTCCAACCCCCCTGTGACAGCAGGACCACCTAGAAGAAAGACAACATCTCAAAGCAGGAGAAAAAACAAAACTGCACAGTGGCTTTGACTGCATCATTTCCTGTTTATTTGATGTTAACTGCACTTTTACTTTTCTCTTTACATGGGTTTTGTGTGTAGCTGTAATAAATGTCTAGTAGTGCAAATTCCTGCTTGACTAGAAGAAATTTCTCTATTTCTTTAAGAGCAACAGCATGCTGTCTTCCTATGTATTAACTTAAGGAACATTCTCCCATATCATTATTCAACAGCCCCAAACAGATTCTTAGCTTCCACAAGCCATGACACTACACATTTGTTAAATTTTAAACAAGTTTTGAAAACACTGACAGTACAAGTGTGGCCTCTACAAATAATCACAAATGTTGTACAAGTAAAATTCTTTTAAGAATCTCTAAACTTAACAAATTCCACTTTCAACTAGCTAATGCGCATTCATTTCAGCTACATAGGTGCAATAAAAAACACTCAAGTTCTAAAAAGCACACATTTTTAACTATTTGGTATACTACAAATTAAAAATGCACTACCCTAATTGGCATTTATCTATTAAATGAGCCCCTTTTCCAAAATACTGTAAAAAACCTGAGTCCCTGTCACAAAGACTTACCTAAATACCAAAGGCGCTTGTATCAGAGCAGTATTGTTAAAGGCTTCCTTCTCCAGTTGACAGGGGAGGTATAATTGGACAAAAATGGCTGCCTAGCACAAGAAAAACTGTACACAAGCTGGGGATCGAGATTGTAAGTGGTAGCCCTATGTGGTGATGGTAGTCTTACTAGAGGGAGTCAAGAAGCCTAATTCTTAGCAATACACAACACCATCCCCAGCTCCTTCTTCCCTGTCCCTTTTATCACTACATCTGTGGACTCTGCCTCTTTCTTCACAGAGGTACTCACAAGAAGTTTTGGCATAAAGATGCTCAACAAATACACAATGACAAAAACCCACCTGAATTAGGAGACAGAAACTTTGTGGTGGAAGGTATGAAATAAGCCAAACAAATTTTTGAAAATCAGAAAAGAAAGAATGAAGACAGTAATTCATACAATCTTACATCTGTTCATCATCAGCTGAGGAAAAAAAACTATAGAGTTTATCCACTAAAACTGTATTAAGATGTAGTGACATTGAACAATGTAGGATTAGCTGGAACAGCTTAGTAGATAAAGTTCTGCTGTTTGGTATCAGCATCAAGGTAATGAAAGCTTTGGATAATTCCTTGGAAACAAATACGGGAAGGACTGCTCCTCTCCATCCAAGGTTTTCAGAGGAGTGTTGACACCTTCCCATTTAAAGGTCAATACCTTGACTAGACAAAGCCAAGTATTTAATTGGAATTTTCTTTGAATTTGGTAAACTTCATAGGATCAAAGGGTGACAGAAAGCAAACATAGTTTAAGAAAAGGATCTTGAGAGAAAGTATTCTCTTAGAAAAGAATTCAACTATATTAACAGATTTTACATGTATACCATACATGGTATTATTACCAAGCAAATTTTATTGCCTTAAAGCTTTGTCATTTGCTACATGTTCAATACTCTGAAACATACCTGGCAATGTGTACTGGGAAACTTGTATGTACTAACCACTTTATAATTCATAGTAGTATTTTAGCGTACAGCAGCATATAAAAGAAATCTTTACTTATTTTTACTATGGTAAAAAAAAAAAAAAAAAATTATGTGTGTAATCCTTCTGTAATAAAGCTTTCCTTCCTTTCGGAATATATTAGCTTTGCAGTCACCTAGGTACTGCCTATAACCAATTAGTCTACCCCTCTCTGCTCCAAAGTTAAAAAAAAATAAAAATAGATCATTTGTACACAAAGTCTAAGCTTCATAATTGAAAAAGCCACACTCTGGACTATTACTGCACCTATGGTGATCCTAAAAAAATCCAGTTTGTGACAAATTCTCTCTTTCACTTTAGTTAGCAACTGTGTTATAGAAAGAGGAGATCACCAGGAAGGGTTACGCTCTCATGGTCCATCCACCAGCATTCTGCAGGTGTCTCCCAAGCAAAGCCACCACAGAAGATGGGGAATCTACCCACGGGCTAGAAAGAAAGAAAGCACGAAGGATAGTTTTGCCTATACTTGAGTGTTGGTGCCAAAGTATTCGGCCGATAGCTTCAGCCAGGACTACAACATGCAAGAGGCCAGCCCAGCGCCTGCCTGTCATCTCATTCATTCTAGGCTGACTCACTCCCCTTCCTCAACAACCTTTGGTTTTGCCACTGCCACCCTCTGCTGTGCATGAGGAACAGGAAGCTCACTTCTCTCGAGGAGCTGTGTCCTCACCTGCCTTTCCATGCCCATGGAGAAAATCAGGCTTATCTAAAGAAGATACGTCTAACCAGGCTTTTTCAAGCCCCAGAGTTAGGACAAGATTGTTTTGCTCCCTAAACTTGAAATCAGAGCCAAAGTTTCCTTTCATTGGATTGCCTAAATAGAGAAACATCTATAACACCTACTTCAACAATCAAAATCTATTTACCTTCAAAAATTCAAATATTTTAAATCTATTTAAGTACCTATTAATTTTTATTTATTTATTTATTTATTTATTTTAACAAGAGAAACTATTCCAACATAGATTCCTAAAGCAAAATATTGTAGACACACTATATCACAATTCAGGGCATTTTAAGAGTTATACTTAGAAAATTAAAAAAAAAATCTGCTAAGCTTTCTAGTCCCAAGAATTATTACATTCCTATCTTAATTCCACAGAATTTGCAAACTCCTGTAGTCAATGGTTTAATTATAACTGGTTACTTGAAAAAAAAAAAAAAGTTAAGTGTTTAAGGGACATGATCCAGTGACAGATACAGTTACACGTGCCTCTACACTGTTGAAAAATTCACCCCAACTGATATCAGTCATGACACCTAGAACTTAAAATTTTTGGAAAAAAAAAAAACCACAAAAAACCCAAAACAAAACAAAATAAAACCCCAAAAACCAAACCAAACAAGAAACCAAATTAGTAAAGAATAAAGAAATAAAATGGAAAAAAATAAAACATTCTATAAAAGCACCATCAGATTATGGCTTAAAAGGCCTTCCCTGCTACTGGACTCTCTAAATGTTGTTAAAAAATATGCCACACCGAACATCTGAACAATACTGAGCAGCCCACTGCATCTTTCTACCAACAGCCAAAACCCCTCAGTCTTCTAGTTGCCGATGTATCTATTTAACTCTTCACAAAATAAATTACAAGAAAGTTTCAATGAATGCTTCCCCCTTAGTCATGAAACTTGTTAAGTAACTCTTCGTTGTTACAGATGTTCTTATAATAGCTGTGGGTATTCTGTAAGAGATCTGAGCAGACCCCACTGCTCCCCTGACCCACACATCAGTAGCCTTGCAAGACTGCGAAGACTGAAAGTTTCTCAGACATTATTTGGCAATATTTCCAAATCCTAGGAAAGAAGTAAAGAGCAAGACTGGGGAGATGGGTTTTACAGTACAAAGATTGCCTTTGCAGGAACTATATACAGGAGGAAGCAAATAAAAACAAACAGCCCTGCTCTTACATACAGCAAAACCAACCTTCTTCTGCACTTTCAGTAAGGCACTATATTTCAGGGAATGGACTGCTTTGTGGGGAAAAAGTTTAAAAAAACTCCAGAGAAACTTCAAGTCAGGGTGTAATGCACAAGGAAAAGCCATCAAAACATCGAAGAAAAACACATACTCAGATACAACTAGAAAGTTTTTGTACTTCAGTATATATTTGATACAACAGCTCTGGAGCACCACTCCAAATTTAACATTGTATCTTTTAAAGACTAACATATGCAGTGCCTTGTATCCCAATGTGCACCAAAAAGCCTGCTTTGGGTTAGGATGTTCTTGTTTACCATTACTCAGAGTATTGACAGTCAGCAGAGTTCAAAACATGAGAAGGATGAAGATACCAAACAGGTTAGCTGAACACATACATCAGTCCATGGCCCAACTGACTTGAAACAAGCCCAAAAAATCTTAATGTAGCTAAACATACGCTCAAGCACGTGCAAACAGATTCATAGCAGTTGGTTCCTTTCCCATTATCCATGCCGTTTGTTCCCATAAGCTTCACATGAGACTGAAGCGTAGGCTTATAATAATGGCTGAAGCAGAGAAAGAATTCAAAGCACCCCAGACCATAGATACAAATGAAAAATTGTATCAATTAACAGAGATAGCAAGAGACAAGAGTGAATAAATGAGGAAGGA